AGGAAATTCGCTAGAACTTTGAACTGATGTATCTCAAGTTCTGTGCAACTGAATTAAAAAATCTAATCGCCATTTTACAGCTTTACTTAAGATAAACAAAATGATGATTAGATTTTTCAAAAAAGTTTTCTCTATCTTGCTGAATATCCTTTTTAGGAAAGCCTATTTTTATTGGATGTGTACTTGTGACCGGCACTGTACATGTTTTAAAAAAGAATAGAATTCTACAACAAATAATTTTTTGAGAAAATCTCTATTATATTAAAACTAAAGACCTATCAAATAATAGAGCTATTTTTTAAAAAGTAGGACAGGAAATGATTTTATACTTTTAAAATTTGCACAAAATTTAGGAGGTCTTTAGACCAAGCCAACTATATGAGTTCTTACAAAACTGATCCAAAAACAGGAAACCCAATTTGATATTTAAAGGCAACAAAAAAAGAAATGTGGGGAAAATATCATGAAGAATATCCTAATGGATTAAAAAGAACAAGTTTTATGTGTAGAATGGATGGCCAATTTAAATATCAAGAAGATCTAAGTGGCTTATGTATAACTTGTGATTTTTATGGTTATCAAGTATTTGATTCATGATTCAATCAATCAAAAATTCACAACTATTTGAATCAGAAAAAAAACAACCTGATTACTAAAATAGAAATAATTAGATGTCATTTAAAGCATGGTTTGGAAGAAGAAATAAAAGTTTTAAATAATGGGTTCCTTGAGCATACTCCATGTTTGAACCATTGTCTTCTTTATGCTTTTGGAGAATGCAAAGAACATCGTTTATTTTGTAACAATTGTGTATCATTGTTTTTGGTCTTAAATGAAATTAAAGAATTTGCTCTAATTGATGTAGAACGATATGAAGAATATATGGATAAAATTTTGTATTATTTGTCACATCAACTACATAAAAAATATTTAAATTCACAATTTAATGCAGCATTATGTGAATTAACTCATAATGGTGCAGTTTTAGTTTGCGATTATAAAATGAAAGTGAATCCTAAAAGTTCTTGGGAAACAAAACAAGTTTTTTTTGGAAAAGAAGATTGGACACTTCATACAATCCTAGTGATAACCAAATCAAATAATAATGATGAATTAATTATAAGAGCATTTGATCACTGGTCTGATGATGGTAAACAAGATGCTTGGTTTACAGCATCTGCATTTGATGTTGTATTACCACAAATAGGTAAAAACATTGAACAGATAAAGATATTTTCTGACAATGGTGGTCATTACCATAATTCAGAGTTAATGATGATTGTCAGTTATTGGAAAAAATGGTACAATCTAAATATAACTAAATGGCAATTTTTAGAACCAGGTGAAGCTAAAACTATTGTAGATTCTCATCATGCTCAACTATCACATGGTTTTGTTAGATATACAAGATTAGGTAATAGTATTTCCACAGGAGAAGACATAGCAAATTCTAATAAAGATCTTGCTGGAACAACATTTGCCAAATTAATTCTAGATCGTAGTAAAAAAATATCAGTTGGTACTATTCCAGGGATTTTTAATTATTTCACTTTCATGTGGCCAACTGATGAGAAAGAGGGAATTATAGAAGCTTATGAAATACCTAATTATGGAAAACCAACAATATACTCAGTTTCAGATATAAAAAAACTTCTCAAAAACAATGATATGAATAAACCAAATTCAACAGCCATTGACCAAACAACTGCTCAATCAGAATGGAAAATGAATATACCTTCACAAATTAATCTATCCATTCAAACATTAACAGTCCCTGAAGTAAGATCCAAACTTAAGGAAAAGGACTTGGATTTTTCTGGAAATAAATTGGTTATCAAACAAAGATTGAATCAATTTAATAATAATGATAGGATAAATAACTTTTTGCTCATAAATAATAATGATGATAATAATTTAAAAAATTTGTTAAATCAAAAATTAACACCTGGATTTGCTTTGAGAAGTAAACAAAAATTTGGAAAAAAGGGTGGTAAAAGACTTGATTTAAAAGTCATCGAAGAATTAAAAGGAATGTTCCTGGCTGGTAATATTGAAAAAAACAAAAAATTTTCACCTGAAGATATGTTAAAAAATCTTCAAGTGTGCACTGAAATAGAAACTGATAATATTCCTTCTCTCCAACAAATCAAGTCATGGATATCTAGGTTTAGTTCTTATCACAAAAAACAAGCAGCTGAAATTGCTAGTGCTAGCTCTAATTAATTTTCTTAATGAACACAATAAAAATTATTATTTAATGAAAAAAATAATGCTTACCTTCAAGAGCAAAGTCTTTTATTTATCAATACAAGTAGTATTTTGTTCATTAACCCCCTTTTTGAATAATCAAATATCAAAAAGAATTATGACTTTTGGTAATGGATGGAATTTCAAATAGTCTTAAACATTTCAAATAGTCATAAACATTTCAAATAATCATAAACATTTCGTATCACTTTTATTTTTTTATTAGAACGTCTAAAGCATTTTCTTTATTTATAAAAATTAATAAATGTTACACGGAAAAATCAGATTTTTTCAATACAAAAACTCAAAAAATCAACATATCATAAACAGAAAACTTTTTTCTTTACATAATTAATAGCAATAAAAAATACATAAATATGTTCTCTGAGATTTATTTTATTTGTATGCACAAAAAAAATTTATCTTGCAAGACAAAAGTATAGTAACTTTTTTTTATAAAAGGTTACCGATTAGTGTTTTTTTGGTCAATTTTCCCCCGCCGATCACTATATAACATAGACGGATCGTCAATTAATAATTTATTTTATTTACAATTCTTCTGAAATATTTTTGTAAATTTTCTTTCAAAAAAATGACATTTTTAACT